GCTAAGAAGATTGTGCTTGAGTCCTTCAACTAAATATACTTCAATCAGATCATATGATGAGCTTAGAGTAATGGTTCCCACTCCTGTTACTTCTCATTTAGCATTGTCCCCAAATCTTACAAATCCTCCATCGATTTTTTTTTATGGTTTTGAAGTTTTCTTTCTTTCCACACATATGCCTGGAGCATCCACTATCAAGTACCCACATTCCCTTTTTGTAGGTTTTCTTAGATTTCTCCTGCAAAACAACAAGATTAGTTTCTTTTAGGTACCCAAGTATTTTTGGGTCCTTGATGATTAGTAGCTTTTGGTCTCCAAATCCATTTTCCAGAGGAATATTTTCTACAATTAAAAGATTTGTGACCAAGATCACCACAAGAAAAACATGTAATTTTAACAGAAGTTTCATGAGAATAAGAATTAGAACTCGATTTATTAGATTTGTTAGAACTACGATTAGGAGAGTTTCTCCTATAAAGAGTAGTTCGGTTAGATCGAACAAAACTGTGACTAGGCAATTTTCTGATGCTGTTCAGCTGCATTTTTATTTCCTTTAGTTCTTCTGTAAGTAAGTTGACTTCAATTTGACTTGCTTCGAGAAGAATCTGCAGTCTTTCTTTTCTTGAGCAAGCTTATTGTATTCGTCAATAACCTTTTGTAATTCATCAGTAACCATGTCCAAAGAGTTCTGTAAGTCAATACAATTAAGACAGTTAAATGGTCTTACCTCACTTGTTTCACCTAATGCCATGAAACATAGGTTGGCCATTTCATCATGATCATCATCAGTTGTTTCTCCTTGATCCCATGCTCCCAGACTTTTAGGATCTTCATTTCTTCAATTATTTCATTTTCTTCGTTCTGGGCAATTTTGTTTAATGTGTCATGGTTTTCCACAATGGTAGCATCGATCATTATTCATATTTAAATCGTTGTTCTGTTGAGGTCTCTATCTTCTTTGTCTAAGCATTTGTCTCACTCCTCGATTTATAAGAGCCATTCCTTCGTCTTGATTTTCATTTACTTCTTCTCCAAAGTCAGATGTCTCGGCTATGAATGCCACTGTCTTCTTCTTATCATCCTTGTTGTACCTGTTAATATGATTTTATTCATAAGCCATTAAGTTGCCTCGAAGTTCATCGTATGTCATCTTCTGCAGATCTCCATCTTCAAGAATGGCAGCTTTAGTTTCCCATGCCTTAGGAAGGCTTCTAACTAGTTTTCTGACTTGTAGTGCATTAGAGTACACCATTCCAAGTGATTTGGGTTCACATACAATTTTACTGAATCTCGAGAACATGGATTCAACGTTTTCATCTTCGGCCATTTTGAATAACTCATATTCACTTACAAGAGAACTGATCCGAGCTTCCTTTACTTTAGTGGTTCCTTCATAAGTCACTTCTAGTTTTCCCACATTTTTTTTTGCAGTTTCACATGTTGATATTTTGTCATATTCGGCTCCACTCACTGCACAATATAAAAAACTTATAGCTCTAGCGTTAGTTTGAATTACCTCTTGTTGTTCCTTAGTGATGTCAAATGATTCAGGATCAAATGGCTTTTCAGTGCCACCTTTTTCAGTCAGTCCAGGAATAGGTTTTGGGCCCTTCTTGATTACTAGTAATCCATGCTTGATGATCATTTGAGGAGACAAAGATTCTGAATCTGTCTTTCCAATGAGAGTAATGTAGTCCATTGAAGTATGGTGGTCGGTGTGAAGAATGTCCATCTTGAAGTAAAACATCTGGAATCTGATAGTGTGCCAATGGATCTTTGCTCACGTGTGGTTAAACACTGAAATGGTGAGACCTGCTCTGATACCAATTGAAATTCAAGAGGGGGGGGGGGAGAATTAAAATTCCTACAGTCGACTTCCTGTGAGAAGTAGTTGACTCACCTGCAAGTTAGTTACACAGTATAAAACAAGATAAGATACTGAAAGTAAAATGACACAAGATGTTTTATACTTGTTCGGATCACCGATGTGGTGCCTAGTCCAGTCCCCTTGGGTTTCAAGGGTTTCCTTTAGAGCTTGTTGCGAACTTGTTTGTACAGGAGGTGCGATCTTCAAGTCCTATTTGATATGCAAATCAGAGTTTCTGTGTTGACACTGCCTCTACTTGTATAACCTACACTCAAAATCTTTCCTTCTCTTTTTCTTTTACAATTGTTCACTCACGTGTACAAAGCTTTATGAAAGATGAAAGAGGATTACAATTATAAGTTCAAGTGAAGTTGCGGATTTTGGTCGTCAGTCCAGTTCTTCATTTATAGGCTGAGTGTTGAGGTGACTTTTGCTCTAATAGGAAAACCCAAGGGAGTTTCCTTCAATCAAGGATTTGTAACGATTCCTTGATTGAGACCTTGATTTGAGATACCAATTTTGGTTCTGCCTTGAATCAGAAATTGGTTGGAGACTTGTGCAATAATCCTTCGACTCCCAGTGATCTTCAGTGATCAGTGAGTTGATCCTTTGTTGATGTTCCTTTCCATCTTGAGTTGCTGTCTATTTCGTTTTTCCCTTTTTGGCTTTTAGTGATTTGTAATCTGATTGTCTCAAATTGATTTGCTTTGTCATCTTGATTGTCATTTCCTTTTTGGCTTCTGATAAAGGATATCTGATTGATGTAGTATCCATTTATCCTCCTTTGATGAAGGCTGCATGATCTCCAGATCTTCTGCTTGAATCCCTCTGTTGATTTATCTTATTGCCTTCTTTTGTAGACATCCGCAGATTTTGCTTTCCTTGATTTCCTGTCATTATTCAAAATACATTAAGTTAACATTAAACACTAAACATAAGCAACCCAAATACATATGTCTTTTAGTTGTGTCAATTTAGTTTTCTTGATGTCTTCTTAGTTGTTACTCCCTCCATTTCAAATTAATTGAATTGTTGAGATATTTTCATTTTTCAAATTAACTTAATTGTTCTATTTTCAAGACTACTTTTAGAATGTTCTTTCAATTTTATCCTTTATTAGTTAGTATTGAAATTGGTTATTAATTAATGTTTAGTTATTTTAATCATAAATTTGACAATAATTAATAAAGGTAAAAATGGAAAGTTATACCTAATTTATGTCTTAATATTCTTTTCTTAAAGGATGTGAAACATCTCAACAATTTAATTAATTTGAAATGGAGGGAGTAATACTCTTTTATATTGTGCATCCATATAGAAAAGTAGAAATGATTTGAGTAATAATGTTAAATTTGCAATACAATCGGCAACACGTTCAATACAGTATCGCCGAGAACCATACCAAATCAAAGTTTGATTTATTGATTACTGAATTATCGAACCAAAATTCAAAATTTTAATATTTCGTATCTACTTTTAACTACCAATTACTGAATTACTGAATTCAAAATTTAGAAATCTCAAATTGAATACCTAACACCCACCCCTAATTACGATATTCAATTTGTGTTTGGTATGAGACATTATAGTACCATTTGATATTCTTTATTTTCCAAGTATCGAATTATTTACTTAATGAAGGTCATATATTAACAGGTCCATTAGTCATTAGTACAAGTCAAAAGTGAAAGTTAAAGACTAAAATAAACAATCCAAATATATATGTCTTTTAGTTGTGTCAATTTGTTTTTCTTGATGTCTTCTTAGTTATTGATCTTTAATTATATCGTGCCTCATAGAAAAATATAAACAATTGAAGCAATAATATTAACTTTCTAATACAATCATACTACAACTTCAATACGATATTATTGAATATACTGAATCGAAGTTTGATTTACCAATTATTAAATTACCGAACTAACATTTAAAAATTTATATTTGATATCTACTTTTGACTACGAATTACCAAATAACGAAAGAAATAGTATATCATCTCAAGACCTACTTAATTTTGATGAGAACGCATTACCGGAGTTACTACAGGCAACAAGTCATGTTTGAATTATAATAACAACGTGAATGGATTTTATTTTATTAATTTAATTAATTACATTACATTAAATAGAAACACTCCACTAATCTAATACTACTTGCCAAACAATCTCTATCAGTAAAATAAAATAAATAATATTAGAAAGAAATACCAAGGTGAATATTATTATTATATTGAGAGAAAGTGGGTGCATTAAAATAGGACAAAACGCCAACCCACCAAATACAAAAGAAATAATAAGAGTGGAAATTAATGTCACAAAAGCAAAGTGGAGTATGTAAGACTTGCCAATAATTGAACCATCATTACACCTAAAAGTTGTACTTATTAATTAATTCCTACAATTATTTCTCTCTCTCTCTGTAACGCTGACATGCCATAATAATATGAAGAAAAAGAAAACATTTTAATATTTATATTTTAGTTTTTGTAGAGAATAATATATATTGTAAAAGTATTCACAGCATGAATTTGCTGAAATTTCTACATTAATGTTTTGTTTGCGAAATAATTTCTACATTTTTCTTGCAAAATTTAGTTGATAGATTAAGCAAACAACAACAGTGTAAACAATCCAGCAGATGACTAATATGAAAGGGAGACACGATAAAAAGGTTGCACTACTCATATGAATATATAATTACCAGTATTAATTATAAACAATAATATATGACTCTTAGCTTTGTTTGACAATGTTCAAGTGCTTATCTAAAACTGTTAAATTAGGTCTTACGCCTAAATTACAACCCAAATCTAGCTCAAAGAAATGAGGATTGTCCAAACCTTATAAGGAGTTCACATATCTCATTAACTATAGACTTTTGCCGATCAAACACCGTGTGACACAAATATAAGGTTGGTTTGAATCAAAGCTACTTGATTCGATCGAATATGTAGCCAGTATTCTAGGTCCACCCATAGTTTCAAGGATGTCTACAACTCTCTAGCCAAAGGAAGAAAACATGATTGATCTCTCTTTTCACCATTTATTTAGACGTGTGATATTTAAATAAGATAAATAGAGAAGCGCCGGTGCATATATCTTTGAGATCATAATCAATAGTCACATAATTACTAGTAATATATATGGTTTATATACTTCATATCTTGCATGATGATATTATTGAAATTAATTTACTATAACTAAGCACATGCATGCATGGCTAGCAAATATTGGGGCCAAATCCCACAAAACCATTAGCTCCATCAATAGAAATTTGGATGCCTTCTTGCTGGATATTCCCTATTATGGAAAGTCTGGTTGGAGATGGAGCAAATGCAAAGCAGAATGTGCCCTTTCTATCCACTGGAATTAGGAAGTTCCTAGCTGGTAGGGTTAAGATGGGACCACCCATGAGGAAAAACGAAATGGTTGGTACTCGAACCGTTACAAACCCGTTAAGATCATAGCAGGTGTCGAATATTGACATGGCGGGTGCCCGTGGAAGGCTTGAGGTTTGGGCTGCAAAGGCATCGCGAAACGCCACATAGGCTTCCTGGGGAAGCCTGGTAACGGCTGTCCCTGTATCCATAACCACTCCTCCATCTCCTTCCTCAGTCAATCTAAATGCATCTTCAGGTATGGGTACACGCGCTCCTCCAACTCCAAGACCCGACATGCCGATGTAATAGAAACTCGGAGCCCGTGGGTTTCGGATGAGTGGTACCCATGCTGCACCGGCGGGTAATACTTCCCGCCCGAATTCAAGTGATCCAGTTGATCCAGTACTTTCCCGGCTAACCAAACAGTAACTAAAGGCTCCACCTGTTTGTCCACCGAGTTGTCCAACAAGTGACATGGAGCCACCTCCAAGACCCAACAAACCTGCAGCCCCAATAAACATACCGTGGTTACTATGGCCACATCCGATGGCCACGTCACGAATAACAGTGCGGCCAAAAGTAAGGGTCTCGAGGGCCATGGTCCCCTTGGTGTAGGAGCCATCACCATACATGACTTGGTATTTGCAGCGACCAGCATGACAGCCGGAGTTATCTATGCGGTCGCAAAGGGAGGAAGAACATGGTACACCAGAAAAAGAAGCGGAAAGGGAAGGGTCAAATACGGGGTCAGACTGATGGTAGCAATGGGTACATGGCTGGCACTGAACCCAAACAATATCACTACCAGCATCAATAACCATGTATTGTTGTCTAACAGGACTACCAACACCAATCCTGACAAAGTATTCTCCACTGCCTTGCTCCATACCGGAAATAACCTCACTCCCGAAGCCGCCGAATTCCTCCTCCTTAACCTCATCATAATTAGTAGTAGCAGTGAGTGTATGTACCCTTTTGAGGTCTCTTTTCATGCGAGCTTGAAAGCGGTGAGGATGATCAGTAAAGTGAGAAAAAGGCAATTTGTCTCTGTGAAGAAGCTTGAGCTTCCATCTGCTATTGTCATCATCCACAATATTAATATCATGTGTTTCAGGAGGTTGGATTAATGTTGATTCTTTAATGGCTTGGTTGACATCCAAGTGTTCATGGGTGGGAAATGGGATTGCATGCCCAGATGTGCTCTTGCTTTCATAACTAATATTTGCACTTATGAAAGTCATGATGGAGAGCAAAAATATTGAAGGGACAAACATTGCTCTCTTTTCTTTTCTCTTGGAAATTGTGACCAAAAGGATACTTAGGAAAGGGGAATTTATCTACTTTGCCTTTCCACATATGTACAACAAAAAGGTACCCCATTTTGGAATGACTCTCACCATCATTAGTAAATCTATCACTACTATTCTTTCTTCTCTTTCAAAAATAATAATAATCTAATTTAATTTGCCATACAATTTAATTAAAGATATGTTAACGGTTTTGCATCAGAAGAGAGATTTCAAGAAATGGCAAATCTATTCACTCTATCAATAACCGAGCCGAATCTGGTGTATCATAAGGGATTTTGTTAAAATATTCTTAATTTTATAGCCTTAAACATGTCACTTAAAATTAAAGTATATATTACAAAAAAAATGAGTCATTTTTTAATAAATATTTTTAAAAAAAGAATGTCATTCTTTTTTAAACAAGGTTGTTTTTGGATTGATTCACCACCTCCATTTGCTCAAATTTTGTTTGTAAGAAATTTTTAAAAGTTGACATTGTAAAATGGGAAAGGGTCAAAAAAGCTTTCAGTTGATAATTTACAGCTGAAATATACTTTAATTTCTACATTAGTGTTTTGTTTGCGGGAAATTAAATATAATAATTTCTACATTTTTCTTGCAAAATTTAGTTGATAGATGAAGCAAACAACAATATTGTAAACAATTCAGCAGATGACAAAAATTAAAGGGAGACAGGATAAAAAGGTTGCACTACTCATATGAATTATTACCAGTATTAATTATAAACAATTATGACTCATAATTTTGTTTGACAATGTTCAAGTGTTTATCTAAAATTGTTAAATTAAGTCTTACGCCTAATCATACCTCAAAATGCATATAAATTATATTCTCAACAGACAAAAGACTTGAGTTTCTCTATTTCATTCCTCATAAAACTGTCATCACTCAGATTTCCCTAACTGGTAATGGATTGGTACCTAACTTAAAAGTAAAAAAATAAGGGTTCGTTTGGTAGAGTGTGTTAGTAAAAATTGTGTATGGATTAATCTTGTGTATTATAGTACCTTGTTTGATACTTTTTTCTAACCTAATTTATGTATAATTAATGTTTGAATTAGTTATATACTCTATTGTGTATTACTAATAATACCATGAGTTTTTAGGTATTAGCAATGCAATGGTTTTAATACATGCATTATTAGGTCAATTAAAAACCCAAATGCCCCTCAAATCCTCTTTTACATCTTTTCAATCATAATAGCGCATAGGGTATCTTTGTAAATGATGTTTTTATGCAATACATGGTATTTTTAATAAATCAAATCAAATAATGCATAAAAATAATTTATGTATATATTAATGCTTGAAATTTGAAGAAGACATCAAAAATAAATTTGATTTTATAAACACACAATAATAAATTTTACATAGTGTAAAAGGTTTGAACACTCTAGAATATTCAATAATGAAAGGGGAATAAAAAAAGTAAATATAAAACTAATATTGGTCATGATAATCGTGAGAATATAAATGAGGTATGTAACAAAATAAAAAACTAGAAAGATTACTATAATTAACTAAACACGATTTCATTTTCTCAATTATCATAATAATGTGTATATTAAATGATGCAAAAAATAATTATGTTTTCTATTCAAAAAGTTGTTTTCATCAATATAGATAAAAGGCGGTAATAATTTCATTATATATAATTAAATAATATAGATAGAAGAGCTGCACTTGTGTGATAGGTAGCATGCATGTGTTGGAAATGATTTTTGGTTGCTGCGTAAAGTGTTATTATTAAGTAGAGAGTTAATTTGAGTTTCCAAGTGAAGATTAACTAACATATGTATGTATGTCGGATCCTCCGAGCTTATTTATACAAAAAATCATTTTCAATATATAAATTAAAGAAAATGTAATTAAATAAATAGAATTTATTGAACAGGAGGAATATATATCACAATCAGACTATATATGCCTAACATAAATAAATAAAACAAACACATGACTTATTCCTTTTTTATGTATAATAATAAGGTGCATGCGTTAATTTGTTATATATACTGATCGATGCATTTTGATTGTAATAAATATTGTTACGTTGCCTGGTAGGTAGGGGTGTGCACTATTCGGATTAAACCGAATAATCAAATCAAATCGAATTTTATTTGGATTGGTTTTTTGGTTTTTCGGATTGGTTTTGGATTAATAAATTACTTTGTTTGGTTTTCTGGTTTGGTTTCGGATTTTAAAAAATAAAAACCGAAAAACCGAAAAAACCTATATATATATATATATATATATATATATATATATATATATATATATATATAATGCTTAGGTTTAGAATTAAGTTGGAGTTAACCACTTTTGTCCTTTTTTGGTTATTGCCTTTGATGATGATTACATTTATATTTTATGCTTGAACATCTATAATAGGTATAATTACAAGTATTGTGTTTTAAGTTTTACTTATGATTTATATTAGAAAGTATATTTAAGAGATTAATTATTATTACTTTGGTTATGTTATTAATTATTGACAGAATCGAATAACCAAACCGAAAAAAGCCGAATCGAATAGAGGAAAACCAAATCAAACCAAATTTAATTTGGATCGAATTGGATTACACTTTTACAAAACTAAAAACCAAAAAATCTAAATCGAATAGTACTATAAAACCAAACCAAAAGACCGAATTCACACCCCTAGTACTGCTTAAAATCACTTCATCATGGAAGGAATAAAATGAGAAAAGCATCAGTGTGTATATATATATATATGGTATATACGGAAAACGACGACACTAACAACAACATTGGACCGCTAGCTGGAATACCAATTTAATTAATTAAATCTTTCTTCTAAAGTTTTACGACTCAATATCTTCAAATAACATAATTAATTTATCCACTTCTTATACATAACATACATAAATAATTCTATACTTCCGCTAGACCTTAATGTTGAAGCTTCATCTCTCATCTCTCAAAACTACAAATAAAATTGAATAAAACTACATGAAAAATTGACACCAAGTGTGAGCCTATATGCTCCAAACAAAAAATAAGCAGATAAAGAAGAAGCTTGCAATATAACGTACGGAAATTGGACAAAGAGAATGTCATTCCCGAAGCAGTGATTTACAACAATCATGCAACAACTATAAATACTGTGCAACTAACTTCAACTCCTAAAATAACTCTAGTAACTTACTAAGACTTCTATCTAGGTAGACTTCCTACGAAATAGGAACACATTTATTTGATTCAGTAAACTAAACAAGCAGAAGTAAACATTTAAAAAAACAGTTAAGATGCACTAATTTTTAACACTCCCCCTTAGTGCATGCTGACGATCAATAACTCCAAGAGCAGCCCTGAAATATTCAAACTTAGGCTTTATTAAGGCCTTTGTAAATATGTCCAAGACTTGCTCATTTGTAGAAATTTCTTTCAAAATAACTTCTTGATCTAATACTTTCTCTCAAATGAAGTGATGAGCATCTCTATGTGCTTCGTTCGACCATGAAAAAATGGATTTAATGCAAGCATGACAACACTTTCATTGTCACATCAAATTTGAATAGCGTAATCAACTTTGCACAACATCTCTCCTATTAGTCTCTTCAACCACATACATTCTTGTGCAACCATAGTGCGGCTACATACTCAGCTCCAATGCTAGATAATGCTACCACTGGTTGCTTCTTACTGCACCAAGATACCATTGCTGAACCAATATTGAAATAATACCCTGAAGTTGAATGTCTATCATTCACATCTCAAGTACAATCCGCGTCGATAAATCTATTCAGTATAAAAGTTTCATGTCTTCTATACATAAGACCATGATCAAGTTAGCCTGTCACGACCCAAGGGTACCCCCTAAACGTAACATGACACATAATACCCCTAAAGACACCATGTAAACCACTTAGCATATCATAACATAAATCATTAGACTAATAAGAGTAAAAACACATTTTAATCAAAAGTTTCATAAAAGCAAAAAGGAAGTCTAGACTTGTCTCAATTAGCCATCTATTACAATCGAAGTACCAAATAGGGTCACAACCCTTACAACAAGAAAATCCAAAAGTCTAGTACAATGAAAGAAAGGAACTACAAGATATCCATTGTCCTCGAATCAATGAGGACTACAAGATATCCATTGTCCTCGAATCAATGAGGACTCACCACACGCAAGGAGAATAGTCGATCCAAACTTTGATCAAGAAGAAAGATCACCTAAAATACCGGACCCTACACTTGTAAAAAAATGTAGAAGAAATATGGGTTAGTACAAAATTGCACTAACAGTCATGCATAAAATCCTTGAAAACATGCTAAAAAGGACATTTTAGTTGTAAAGCATGCACTATACCAAGTTAAAGATGCATCATGAGGATTAGTGTATAAGCATAAGTCATAAGCATATTCAACATATTGATCATCATATCATAATGGAAACATACCACAAATACCCTCAAAGCATCCTTGTGCCATGCATGAATAAGATCCAATAATCCTACCCACACTAAGGAAAGCTTCTTGAGTAGCTATACTTCATAACTCATATTCTTGTTCATATTATCATAGTGGGAGATTAGTCTTAACTGACATAGACCATGTGAGCTTACCATGGAATCCAATGTCTACCCCACACCGAAAATGGGTTTTCCTACTTGCCTAAGGTGGAACCATACTCTTAGATTAGGTGGATCCACTAGCTAAAGACCTATGAGGAAACATAGTTTATGGGATAAGGGGATTGTTACTAGAAAACCCGACCTCTACTAACGTGAGGGCTTCCATCCCAAGAGATTGTTCCTAGAAAATCGGCCTCTACTAACGTGAAGGCTTTCATCTCATATCACTATCCATTCGGTGCTAAGCATAATTCCCATTGAGTTCATGTTAATTCTTTACTTAATTTCATAATTACGGAAGAATGTCTTGACACTCAATCCATATAACTCATATTAAAGCTCATAGATTCATTAGGCGAGACTAGTCTTCCAACC